CAGATATGTATCCTCGTAAATGTTCGGATCTTGTACTGGTTGGCAGTCTGATCCGTCTTTTGCGACAACAACTCGCGGCTGCACATAATGTTGGCGGCAATCACCTTCTAGAACCTGGGTGGCAATCACCTTCTAGAACGTGGTCGGCCACCTTCTAGAACATGGGCGGCAATCGGCTTCTAGAACGTGGGCGGCAATCACCTTTGAGTACAATTGCAGGAAACAGGGGGCTGGGATTGTAATGTAATGTAGCTTGCACGTGTACAGCAAGCCAATGTCGTCATGGACTGTATGAATGATTTCAGCCTGTTGGAAATGACGAGTGCAACAGAATCCAATCCTGAATATTACGTGAGGATTCACAAATCGAGCTTTTTAAATCTGATCCAACGAGTCTCTTTTACTAGCGAAAGGAGGGAAAGCAGGGGAAGGATGAGAGAGAGAGAGAGAGAGAGAGAGAGAGAGAGAAGAGGGGAAACTTCCAGAATGTGGGAGGCAATCACCTTTGAGTAGTATTTTGCAGGAAACAGCAGGCTGTGCTTGTAATGTAATGTGGTGGTGGTATAAGCGATGGAAAGCAACTGTCTTCCAGGTACATGAAGTTTATGTTGTTTGCTTGTTGCATCTACCTGCTGGGCTCGGAATTCAAAGCGCTCCTACGGATTTGGTGCAGTACTTCTTTTGGACAAACTCCAGGGTCGAGGTTGATGGCAATACAATGGAATCCAACCCTAGTTTCTTGTGCAGCCTCCTGGAAATGATGATCACAACATGATTTAATCCTGAATATTATGTGAGGATTCACAAATCGAGCTTTTTAAATCTGATCCAAGAAGGCTCTATTATCAGCATCGAGGGCTTAACCCTCGACGGGCAGCAGAAACCAGTAAGCTGGAGTCCGGTAGAGTCAGAGGGAATTTCTGGTGGAGCTTTGAAATGAGGTGAAATGCGTAGATATAGGAAAGATTGCCCAAGGCGAAAGCACTCTTCCGGTCCGATACTGACACTGAGAGATGAAAACTAGTGGAGCGAATGGGATTAGATACCGCAGTAGTCCTAGCTGTACACGATGGACACTTGGTGCTGGATGAACGTGGGATTGCCACCCGCATGAAGTAATATTTTGTAGGAAACAGCTGGCTGTGTTTGAAACGTCTTGCGGTGGCGGTGAACCTTTACCATCTACATGAAGTTTATGTTTGCATGTGGGACCAACGACGTCTCATTGATCAAGAATTGGGCTCGGCCGTCAGACCTGGTAGCCCATCGTTATGATGGGTCTACCTACTGAGAGTGGTCGAAGCTTGTTGCAGCTTGCACGTGTACAGCAGGCCAATGTTGTCATGGACTGTATGAATGTTTTCTCGCTGCAAGATGAACTTGGGCAGGTGGGCAGTCTAGGCGCTTTTGTTGATGGCATCCACGACAATCACCTTCTCTGCACATTATGGAGGACCATGGAATACCTCTGATTGAACTACGACGAGTCATTACAAGTGCCCGTCAATATTAAATAGATAGTTGTTTTGCTTGAAGTGGTGTAATCGGAGTAGCGGCGTAATATCTTATGTAAGCGCTAATTGATGTCAGGTTTGTACTGGTGGTAATTACAGTCGAGCTCCCCAAAAACTCATTTGTCCCCATGGCAACACATCCTACACTTGCAAAAATCGCTAACATGAGGAATCAGACATCTGGGCCTTCAGTCGTCCTACTGGGCTGACGACTCGGGTCGTCGGACAATCTTCAGATTTTAATATCGGGCGAAGATCTGGGCCGTCCGCGGTACTGGTCTGACGGCCTAGATAGTTGCACGATATTAAGATCTTAAACCACTAGTGCCTATCTCACTGATGGGAAATTAGGGAAAACTGGCAGTTTTCCCATTTTCCCCGCAGACTTCGGACGTCAGGTAGGTTCGGCAAATGCCAAAGTTTCCCGAAAAAAAAAAAAAAAAGGGGGAAAGGCGGGTGTCAGTCCATTTGCAGTCCAACGGAGGCAGGCCGGAAGTGGAAACGGTACCGGCAGCAGCGTGGCGGGCCATCGTCGGACCAGCGGTGGTCCGTGGCTGGTTTTCACAGTCAGCGACCGCGCGGACGGGCGACCGGTACCCGTGCAAATCCGACGTGCGGCCTGAAGCAAACTTCCGGCCGCTGCGACGACGGTGAGCGCTGCCGCCATCGCCCTTAGGCCTCTCTCTCTCTCTCTCTCTCTCTCTCTCTCTCTCTCTCTCTCTCTCTCTCTCTCTCCGACCTTGGTGGCTCCAGCCGCCGTCCGCTATGGCGGACTCATTTTTATTGATTGATTGATTGGTAGGGGGGAGTGGGGAAGTCGGGATTGGGGTA